AGGCCAGAGGTCAACCTCAAGTTTCATTTCTCAGGTTCTGCCCACTGTTTGGTTTGGTTTGGTTTGATTTCGTGAGACAGGGTCTCTCAGTGGCCTAGGACTTTCCAGCAGCAGGCTAGGTTGGCTGGCTAGTGAGCCCCAGGAACCTACCTATCTTTACCTCCCCCAGTACTGGGATTATAAGAGCCCACCATCATGGCCAGCTCCAAGTGCTATTTATAAGTACAATTACAGCGTCTCCAAGTATACATGGACTTACTGTATTGGCAATAACCATGAGAGCCTTGAATGGCATCAATCACCAAGCACCAGTGAAGATAGCAGGAAAGAGGTGGTAGGAAGGTGGTCTACAATGCTCTTATACCGAGTCATGCTTAGTCAAGCCAGAGCCAAGAGGAGAGCTCACATGGAAACTACTAGACTCAAATGCATAATGCAGCAGGGCAGTCAGGACATTCTTCAGAAGGCATGGGTCACAACTAGAGAGCTCTGGAGGATGAGCAGGGGCACAGAAGATGATCATGGTCATGGCCTTGCTATGATGAGGATTAAAAAGCACTTAGCAGCATAGAGCAGGCACTCAATTGCTGCCCTTCCTTCTCTTCCTTGTAAGGTATTGCTGTAAATGGTCTTGCTGTGCAAATCTGGTTAGTCCACTAATTCACGTTATAGCCAAGGAAAAGGGCTTTTGTGGTGTGGTCAGCCAGGCACCGCTTAGGGAGATGAGTAAGAATGACTCAGGAGTTCCATTTAGTCTGCGCGGCCTCCTTGGTGATAAGGCTTTCAGAGTAAAGTGATCAAAAGAGCCTGGAGATTAAGAGTGAAGGCTACTTTAAGGTCTGGCTGGGGTCCTTCAAGAAGACCTTTCTGGACAGGTAAGCGTAAACGTACATTCTCTCACACAGCCATGCTTAGAGCCTCTTTTATGGAGGATGTGCTATCTCAGACCCAACGTCACAGGACAGTCATCGGTGTCACAAAGGGAACATGATGGACAGCGAAAGGTCATGACAGAGGTGCCTGCCGTCACTAACTCATGAGCCGGACAGGACTCTTTACCCTGTGTCTGGCTAGTGCTTCTGTGGGTTCAAGGGGGGCAAGCAGGGATTGCTATTAATACTCTTTACTGCTGTGGAGGCTGAGGACAGAGAAAACAGTGACATTCCCGGGCACAAAGCTAATGTGTGGGCACGATGATGGTTTAACCAGGCTCTGAATTCCTTTCCCATGCTCTTTCCGCAGCCTTCCCTCCTGTCTTGGGTGTTCACTGGAGAGCAGAGAGCCAGCTCTCCACCCTGGATGTGGGTGGAGCTGAGTCGCAGGACCTGCAGGGTGTGGAAGCCCGGAGAGGTCATTACCCCCCTTCCCCCCTCCCCCCACCCCCTACCCCAGCCCACCCCTACTAGCAGCCATTGTGCTTGGGGAAGTGCTGCTAGTTGGCCCTTGAAGCTAACTCCTTTGCTTTCTTCAGCAGGCTAGTGGTCTAACCAGAGGGAAGAGTCAGAGACAAGTCAGGGCAGAGCTAGGGCTGACAGCTGCTGGTCCAGCAGAATGACCACCTGCCATGTTTCCCGAGATCACTTGGTTCTTAAACATCATCTGGCGCCATTTTTCATTGGGTGTGACTCCATGATCTGGGGTGATGGGGATCTGGTTACAGATGAACAGGCATGAGAAGTTCTCTTGGAAATCTTGACACGACATCCTGTGGAAAGCAGACACATGGCCCAAGTCACCTATGGCTTTGTCCCCTACCAGGGTTTGGCTTCTGACCCCTTCACTGTGCCTCTCCAGTCGGCAGAAGTGCCTGGGTGTTGACTTAACCGTAGGCCTACCCAAAGACCAACGTCTGTCTCTGGCACACTTGGTGTCATGTGCTTCTGCCCTGAGAATCTCCTCTCATGCTTGGCAGGGCAGTGGTGGAGACAAGTCTGGGTATTGTGTCACCTGGAAAAACTACTTACCCAACCCAATAATCCAACCCAGTCCTTTTAGGATCAGTGGAACAGAGGCCAGGCTCTCTCCATACCTGGTCTGCCACCCTGTAAGCCATCTTGCCTTTCCTAACTGCAAATCCATTGCCAATGTCTTTAAGAAAACCCAAAGATGCCACAGCAAAATCCCAGCCTTGTGCCAGGATTAAAATAGAGATATTGGGGAAGATTTGCCTTTCTAGTTGACACCTGTCTCTCTGATTCTTAGGAACCACAGACCTAGGCTTTCTTGCATTATTTCACACATGGTAAATTCCTTTTTTAATTTGTTTTCATACAGTGTATTTTGACCATGTTCTTACCTCTCCTCCAACTCCTCCCTACTGCCCTACCCACCCAACATCATGTCCTTTCTCTTTCTCAAGAAAAGAACAAAACAAAAAATGAAAATAAAAAAAGACAAACTAAAAAAAAAAAAAAAAACCCAAACCAAGCATGCTAAAAACTAGAGTCTGTTGGTCTACTATTTCTTGTCAAGTGGCTGCCCTGGAGCATGGTTGGTATGCCCAGTGACACTCCATTGCAAAAAACAAATATTCCCTTTCCTGGCAGGTATTAATTGAAAAGGTTTCTTGGTTAAGGGTGGGACTTTGTGTCCACTTCCTCTTCTCAGTGTTGGGATTTTGTCTGCTTTGAACCTGTACTGGGCTTGTTTATGCTGTCATAGCCATGCTTGCTCAAGTTCATTTCCTTTCTCCTGTTCTCCAGGGAGCAGCTGAGGTCCCAGCCAGGCTTATTCTATAGATCTGTCCTGCTGTTTCTCTGTTTTCATATATACATGCTATATCTCACCAAAATATGTCTCCAAGTAAACCAGAGAACTCTCCAGGAAATGGTCATCTTTTCTAAGATGTGCATGTAAGGCATGGCATGTGTTTTCAAGATAGTGAGTCTTGAATAGTTTCTAGCTAAGGACAGTAATATCCATCCAGGGCCAGGCTGGAAGATTCACTTCCAGTTACTCTTTTGGGAGTCTTTCCAAAGCAAACTGAGTCCCTATTGATATAAATCAGAGGTGACAATCAGGCCTCCAAATCCAAACCTCTGAGAAACTACCTTTTTACTGTCGAGATATCCAGGAGATCCCAGTGTCTCATCTCCAAGATAACCTTCCCACCAAGGAGAGAGGGCATAACCAGCTGCCGTTCAAAGCTACTGTGCCTCGGGACAGAAAATAGGCTCCCTCTAAGCAGGTCTTTGCACAACTGATTTCCAACCTCACAAAAGTTTAAGGGAAGCCGTTAGGATGGAGGGCTTGGGAAATGGAGACTTCAAACATCCTTAAAGAAAGTACCAAAACTCGCCATCATCCTTGTTCTCATACAGCTGGCTTTTCCGGGGGTCGTGGGTTTCCTCCCACTCCTGGGACCTGAGGATGGAGAGAAAGACCACAGAGTGAGACCTCTCCCACATCCCTGCAAGAAGCCCACGGTGACCTCAAGTCACCTGCCCACTTTTGTGAAACTCTAGAATACCCGACATCTGTCCTTTAGGATCTGGCTTTTCCCACTCAATATGCTAGTCTCTAGTTCTGTCCATTTTTTTTCTGTTGCTAATAGCGTGTTTTTAACTCTTCTTTGTGGCCGAATAAAGCTCCATTGTGTATCTAGACCACATTTTGTTTACCAACTTATATGTTGGGGGTTGCCTGGGCCAGTTCCATAAATTAACAATGGGAAAGGGGAGGGTAGACATGAGAGGGTAATAAAGTGGGGGAATGATCAAAATACATCTTACACACGTATAAAGACGCCACGATTTGTACAATTAACGTACACTAATAAAGACTACCTCCTATCTTCCTCCACCTCTGTGGTGATATTTTATTTGTACTGAAATGTTATTTTAATTTTATGTTAATAAATAAAGTTGCCCCGAGGTCAGAGCTATTAGAGCCATAGTAAGAGCGTGGTGGTTAGAAGAGCTAGGTAGATTTCTGTGTGTTCAGGAATACAGCCAGTATTGGAGACATACGCCTTTA